CCGCTCCAGTTCCTACTGAAATGACTAGAAATGTGCACCCACTTTCCCACTCCAGCTTTCAGTGAAATCACTGGAAAGTAATGGCGGGTCCTAGCGAGCAGCCTGTGTGGGCTGAGTAATGGCTACCGAGAGCTGTGACTTCCTTTCCAAACACGTTCTGGGGTCCTGGTCCTGCCGAGGGACTTCCCTGCCGCCCATCTGTCAGGTTCCTGCCGCCTTGTGTGCGCCCCGGCCGTGGAGGGGATGGAGTCTCCCTTTCCTTGAAAGCCACCCTCCGCCCCCGACCCCCACCCCCACCCCCGACCCGCAGGCTGGCAGTGAGGTCGCAGCCCTGAGGCGCTTTCACGCTGAGTCACCTCGGCGCACCTGGGGTACACTGATGCCCCTTCCCAGCCACCCAGGTTTATTTCCTGAGAGTTTCTGAAACAGTCGAGCATGTGACACACTGCTCGGCCGGCAGCCAGGGTGGGGCCCCTCGGCTGGGCAGGCTGCAGGGCAGGGGCAGGACCGCCGCCTTCCTTCCCTGGACACCCCTCCCTGCCCTGCACAGGCACACATGCTCGGATGCACACACGCGCACGCGCGATGCACACACAGGTACACACACGGGCCGTTAACCCGTCGACCGCAGAACTGGCAAAATGCCACCTGTCTGCGCCTCAGCCCTGTCAGCATCTGTAGCAGAAGCCCCCTCACCCCGTGGAGTTCACCACCCATGAGCCCAGTCCCAGGGACCTGTGGTGGCCAGGTCTACAAGCCCCCAGATGGGGATGATCCCTTGGTAGGTTCCCAGAGCAATTCCAAATCACTACCCACCACCCACTGTGTGCACAGAAAGCAAAGAGGGGATGGGGCTGGGGGAAGCTGAGCCTGGCAGCTCCGGGTGGGGAGGAGCCCTTGACCCCCCCTGCTCAGACCCTGCTGGAGGGGGGCCTTCCCCAGGGCTCTCTGATGTGATCCTCACCCGCTCAGGGAGACCCTCTCCCGCCCGCTCTAAGACACAGGAACTGGAGCCCAGCTGCACACAACTGTCAAGTTATAAAACTGACGTGGGAGCCAAACTCAGGTCAGTAACAATCTGACCCGTTTGTTCACTGGCCAGAAGCAGACACTCGGACACAGCGTGTGAAGCGTGTACATGATGAGCTTGACATCACAACACAGCAGGGTTTTAAAAAATATTTTTAATTTAGTGGTGTTGGGAAAGTTCGACAGAAATCTAAAAAGAATGATGACACTCTAGGTGGATTAAAAAAGATACAAAATTTTAACAAGAATAGAATTGAATGTTTTTAGATTATCAAAGAGAAGATAACATTCCAAACTCTGAAACTGCTAAAAGCAACAAATGACTATGGAAATGTAAAACAAAAAATTAAAAATCGCTAAGAAAAAGGTCTGGAAAAATATTTAAACCAAATGGGACAATGGTTTATCCTAAATAAAATAGTCCATACACATTAATAAGAAATACAAAAGATTGTAATAGATAAATGTCTGAAAGATGTAATTAGGCAGTTCACATAAGAGGAATTACATCTAGAAAGATTTTCAGTCTTATTGTTTTCAAAGAAATGTAGATTTCAGTGAGGTACCATTTGACCTCATTACCTATTAAAGTGGAAAAATATATTTTACTGATGAATATCTCTGACAAGATCGCACTGAACCTGTACCCTCCTACAATGCCAGATGGTTACTGATCACTGCAAGCATTTGTATCAAGCCAAGAAAATGCTTATAGCCTTTGACCTTCACGAGGGCATTTATACCCTGAAAACCGTGAAAGAAGAAAAAACCTGTAAGTGCAGTTACTCATTACAAATCTCTACAACAGCAAAAATTACTGCAAACAACCTAAATGTCCAAAATTAAGGGATTAGAAAATTCAGCAACAGAGAAAAATGTGAATTTGCATGAATTGAGAAAAGCAGACTGTACAACAGGGCACATTCTGATTATGTACACGCCCCTGAAACAGTTGTGTAAAATATATGTACGTGGAGAACATCTGAAATGGAATGTTGACAAAATAGAAAACCCAAGAATAATGGGATTACAGACGAATTCTCCACTTTTGAAAATGTCTTTCACTGGTAGGAAAGAAATTCACCACGTCGTGCTTCACGAGGGCTGGGACGCCCTTTCTTATTCCACGTTCTGCGACGTGACTGTGGTTTTTATGATGAAAAAGGCGAGATAATTTTCAAAATTTTTCCGAAAGAGTTAAGATGATTATTTGTACAGAAAAATTAACATTAAGGGGGAAAGTGGTAAGGGCTTAAATATACAGCCCATAAAGGGCCAGAAATAAAAATACTCCTGGAAGCCATCTAGTTCAAAGCACTGGATATTTACTTACTAAGTATCTCCTCTGATCTCAGGCTTGTACCAGTCGCGGTGAGGGCGAGCCTCCCTCACCCCAGGAGCTGATAATCCCACGGGCAGGGTGAGGCTGACCCAGGTGACCAGGCCACCCGGGCTCCAGCCGTCCAGAGGGAGGAGGGCCCGTTGGCGTAGGAAGGCCCCCGGGTGGGATGGAGAGAGGGAGGACCATTTCCTCTCTGCTGTGTTGACACCCATCAGCAGTGGCCTGGATTCTCAGCTGACCGCGATGAGTTTCCACTAATGGACTGTTTCTAACCCTGAGGGGGGTCCCCTGAAGAGGGGAGGAGAGACCAGTGTCATGGAGTTGGCCTTAGTCACTGAAGCCAGGCTGAACACGTGGCAGGCCAGGCGCAGAGCGGCGCCCCCAGCTCTGGCCCGAGCTGCTTCCTGCCACCAAGAGACATGCGGAAAGGCCCAACGCCCAGGCCCTGGCAGAGAAAATCCGCCATGTGCTCGGGACCACAAGACCACAGCCCAGGAAACAAGAATCTCTGTGTTTTTAATAAACAGCCCACTCTGCCTCCCCTCCACCCGCTGCCTCCATGATCCTCTTGGTCTCTTTGCCCTATTCTCTTCCACCTGGAGGTTTCCGGCCGTTCGTCTCGAGCTTTCAGATTCACGCCCCTTCTATGCCCCAGGCTGAGAGGCGCCCGGGCAGGTCTGGGCCTGTCCCTGACTGTCCCGGGCTCCTGCAAAGCAGCACCACCTCGGCTGGCCTTCTGGGGAAGGAGGCTGTGGCCCCCAGGCCCCCCAGGACGAGAGCGTCCCTCAGCAGCAACCACGTGATCAAACATCAGAAAAATCGCTCCACATCTCCCGTGGCCCCTCAGGTGTCCATGCTGTATGTGGGTCTTGAGGAGAAACCCAGGCTTGGGGGCTGGGATGCCGTGGAGGGCTGGGCCAGAGCCATCCATTCCCCAGCCTCTTCCCTTGCCTGCCTCTCCCGTCTTGTAACCGGCCCAGGAGAGAAATTCCTGACCGGAACGGCGTGGACACGCGCGCCCACCCCTCCTTAGGCTTTGCCACCCCTGGGGATCTCCATGGCCCAGAGGGGCCACAGTTAGGGTGACCTCATGTCCCAGTTTGCGCAGAACGGGCCAGGTTGATCGTGATAATGCTTCTTTCACGCTCAGAAGTGCCTGCTGTGGATCAAGAATTATTCCGTCAGGGCTTCCCTGGTGGCGCAGTGGTTGAGAGTCCGCCTGCCGATGCAGGGGACACGGGTTCGTGCCCCGACCTGGGAAGATCCCACATGCCGCGGAGCGGCTGGGCCCGTGAGCCATGGCCGCTGAGCCTGCACGTCCGGAGCCTGTGCTCCGCAACGGGAGAGGCCACAACAGTGAGAGGCCCGCGTACCGCAAAAACAAAAAACAACCAAAAAAGAATTATTCCATCACCCCACCTCAAATCAACATGAAACGGAATGCACACACAAGCCGTTCCGTGGCCCCGACCTCAGTGGACGGGCAGTGCCCATGGCGTTCCCCACTAGCCGTCCAGGCCCAGCCGACTCCTCTGCGCTGAGGTCCTCGATGCCACAATTCTCTTGAACAGATCCTCTCCTTTCTGTCCCCTCGTCCAGTTCCCTATGTCCGACCCTGCCTCTCCCCAACACAAACAATGACAACAGCCCACGGTGGGGTCCCCCGGCTGGAGCTTCTCCCCGTCCAGTCCACAGTTCTGCACTGACCTGTGCAAAGCAGATGGGGGGACTGCCCTCCTCAACATGTCCGGGGGCTCCTACTGGTGACATCCAAGTCCCCTGTTGCCTCTCCTGCGTCCCCTCCTAACACCCTCCTCCCACCTGGGCTCTGCTGCTCGAAGAATTCACCTTTCAGCTCCTTTCCGGAACTGACCTCAGGTGCCGGGAAAGGTTTCTGACTCTTCCCATCAGAGGCAGCTGCTCCCTCCCGTCTGAGCTCCAGGGGGACTTTGCTAACATTCACTCCAGGCCGTCTGACCTCTAGCACGCTGGCCCCTGCACGTCCTACACATGAATCTGTCTCCCTTGCCTCCTCATCAGACACCCTCCAAGGTCAAGGACGGCATCTCTGTGACACCCAAACAGGGCCTTGCGCACGGAGGAGCCCGCTGTAACGGGACGGTATGCTATAAAATGCATAGATAATCCACCTCAAATTTTTAACGCCAGATGGCCCAGCAGTTCATTCATTCCTGGTGGCGATGGGGCGGGGGCTCTGGGGGGGACACGCACACTGTCACATCTGTTGCTACACAGCAGCTCATGGGAGGAAGTCTGCGAAGAAGAGTTGGGACCTAACTGGAGTCGTCCAGCATCCCCGCGCATCCTTCCCCATCCCCTGCCTGGCCCCACCGCCTCCTTCAAGGCCAGGCTTCACGCCCACCCTTCTCCGTGTATCCTTCCCCACCTCTCTCAGTGCACGAGGGATCTCGCCCGCCTTCTGAGCTCCTGACTCCTGATTTAGGACAACTAATCTGCTGAGTCAGGTACCGTCTGGTGTCGCCTTTCGTACTGAACTTACATCTGTGTCTGGCTTAACAGGTAGGTTTTGCCGATGCAGGAAGGTGGTGAAGAGCTGGGATTTGGATTCCAGGCTCTGCTCCTTTCATCTGGACAGTCTGACCCTCCCTCTCCAGGGTCAAACCCTCCCCTGTGGCTCCCTGGGAACCTGAGTTGGTCAGAAAAGCCACTCTTTGGGCTAAGGCACGCGGCCCAGCATCTCAGGGAGCTAACACCATTTGAGGGCCTGGTGGCCAGTCCCTGATAGTAGGTAGGCCCTCCAAGGGCAGGCTCCCCGCAACATGCCCGCTGTGCACAGATGGCAGAACCCCTCTTTCCTAGAAGGCAGGGGAACCGCGGCGGCAGGCTCCTCCCCAGATAAAATACCCCTGGTCCTGTCTCCTCCCAGAGACAGACAGCAGCGGGGAGCGGGGGCCAAGCGGGGGTCAAGCGGGGATGAGGACCGCCTGGGGCTCTGGGCGCCTCTTCAACCGGCCACCAGACCCCTGAGACGGTTGCCGTTCTTGGCTCATGAACAAAGAAACCGAGCGACTTGCGGAGAGGGACGGGCTGGGCTCCCAAGGGAGGCAGGGCCGTGTCCCAGCCCTGGGGACTTTTCCTCCAAGGACCCAGCTGGGAAGCCCCCCCCCCCCCCCCCCCCCCCCCGCCCCCCACCGCCCCCCCCCCCGCCCCCCTCCTCCCCCACCCCTTCCTGCCCACCCAGTCGCCTCGGCCCGGGGTGGGTGACAGGAAGGGAGGTGCTGGGCACCGGCCGTGAAGAGCCACCCTCCCTCTCGACGCCGCGTCCGCCCGGGCCTCGCCAGCCATGCGCCCCACCGAGCCCTGGAGCCCCAGCCCGGGAACGGCGTCCTGGGACTACTCAGGGTCGGGCGCCCCGGAGGAGCTGGAGCTGGAGGAGGAGCTGTGCGCGGCCCGGGACCTGCCCTACGGCTACGCCTACATCCCCGCGCTCTACCTGGCGGCCTTCGCCGTGGGCCTGCCGGGCAACGCCTTCGTGCTGTGGCTGCTGGTCGGGCGGCGCGGCCCGCGGCGGCTCGTGGACACCTTCGTGCAGCACCTGGCGGCCGCCGACCTGGGCTTCGTGCTCACGCTGCCGCTGTGGGCCGCGGCGGCGGCGCGGGGTGGCCTCTGGCCCTTCGGCGAGGGCCTGTGCAAGCTCAGCAGCTTCGCCATGGCCGGCACGCGCTGCGCGGGCGCCCTGCTGCTCGCCGGCCTCAGCGTGGACCGCTACCTGGCCGTGGGCCGCCCGCTGGCCGCGCGCGCCCGCCGCACCCGGCGCTGCGCGCTGGCCGCATGCGGGGCCGTGTGGGCCACGGCGCTGGCGGCCGGCCTGCCCTCGCTGGTCTTCCGCCGCCTGCGGCCGCTCCCCGGGGGCCGCGGCAGCCAGTGCGCCGAGGAGCCGTCCGACGCCTTCCAGGGCGTGAGCCTGCTGTCGCTGCTGCTGACTCTGGCGCTGCCCCTGGCCGTCACCGTCGTCTGCTACTGCCGCGTGTCGCGCCGCCTGCGCGGGCCGGCGCACCTGAGCCGCGCCCGGAACCGCTCGCTGCGCATCATCTTCGCCGTCGAGGTCGCCTTCGTGGGCTCCTGGCTGCCCTTCTGCGCGCTGCGCGCCGTCTTCCACCTGGCGAGCCTGCGCGCGCTGCCGCTGCCCTGCCGCCTGCTGCTGGTGCTGCGCTGGGGCCTCTCCGTCGCCACCTGCCTGGCCTTCGTCAACAGCTGCGCCAACCCGCTCATCTACCTGCTGCTCGACCGCTCGTTCCGCGCGCAGCTGCGGCGGCGCGGGGCCTGCTGGCGCTCGGCGCGCGCGGCGCGCGGGAGCAGCTCGGCGTCCTCGCTCTCCCAGGATTACGGCTCTCCGTTCCGGAGCCCGGCCCGCCGAGCCCAGACGACGAACGCCTCCTCGGCCGTGGGCCCATAGCTGGCTAGCCCGGAGGAGCGCGCGGCAGCGGCGCGCGGAGAGGGGCGGGAGGCATAGCGAGGTGGGCCGCCCCCAACCCCCTACCTGCCTTCCCCGGACCTGCCTTCCCGAGCGCGGAGAGCGGCCCCGCCGGCACCGCCTAGACCCCGCGGGTCTCGTTAACCAGCTTTCCCAAAACCTCAGCGTTTCGAACTCCCCCCACGCCAGGCGGCTGAGACCAGGCCTTCTCCCGCTCGACCCCGCGGGCACCTGGGCTCTTTGTCTCCAGCCCAAGAAAGGTCCTGCGAGATGGAGCCCACAGCAGCCCGGACACCGCAGGGTCCGCCGAGTAGGGGAAAGGGAAGTGGGCCTCCCTTCTCTGCCCCGTGGATAGCAACACTGGCCAGAGCCCCCCAAAAGCCACTCTTGTCTTGGGCTCTGTTACCTGTGGTCCCTACAATCGCCATTGCCGTCTGAGAAATACCTCCTCCAAGCCAGACCCTCTGGCCCCTCACTTTCCAAAAGATCCTACAGACTATGAAACCGACAGCCCTTTATACTCAGCCGTCTTGGTGGCAGAGTTTGCTGAATCATTAGTCACCATCAGTTCAGATCTTCATTTTCAAAGCTCGCCAAAGCGTGGGAACCAGTCCTGCTGTCGGCTCACCCAGCCATTCCTCCTGAGTTTCCCCAGAAGCCCGGGCCTGCCCCAGTTCTGTATCTTCTCCCCTCGCCCAACAAGCGGCAGGACTCACCCTGGAAGTTATCCTGGACCTTCCCTCTGGACAGAGAGTTCCGGCATCTCTCATCAGGTGTTTGGATTCTCTCTCCCCTAGCCTGGACACCAGGCCCTTCAGTGTGAGTTCCCCTTTCTCAATAAACACTCTCGCTGCCCTCGCCCGACAGCTGTGTCGGTCTTTACTTGAGCAGAGGCGAATGGAACACTGGGTCAGACAAAACTCAACCCAGGAGTTGAGGTTGACCTCAAAGTGATCAGAATTTGGAGTGAAGGTCAGGGACCGAGAAAGTTGATCCCACCGTGGGCACAGCAGTCCCACAGGAGGGCGGCATAGCTTTTAATTCTCATTATTTTAAAGGATGCTTCACATTTTGAAGGTTTCAAAGAGAGAAGAGAAAAAAAAATAAAAGATTTAAGGTCATCTGCCAGCCAGGCGTCACTTCAAAGAGGAAATGTGTCATTGTGATTCTCAGATCAGCACAGGGCTTTTTCTCCTACCCCTTTTGAGACCATCCAGTACAAATGTTGAGGGTGTCCATTTTCTGACTCTGTGACATCGTTTGAGGTTTCTGGAGGGGTTGAAATTTCAGTGTTTCTACTTTTAAGAGGATTTGGCCTGAAGAAGTGTCAGTCGTTGCGGAAAGGAGCTCAGAACTTCTGTCTGAGGGCCTCCCTCTCCGCCAGACCCCCGGACAGGCGTGGAGTCCAGTCTTTGGGGCTGATGGGTTAGAGCAGTTCAAACCCGCCTGTCAGCGGCCCTGGGAGGTCAAGCTGGGAAGAAGCACACCTGGGCGCGTCCTCCCCACGCACCCGAGGGAGGCAGGCCTTGCGGCCTGTGGGGTCGCCGAGCCGGCAGGACCGAGTCCAGACACTTTAACCTTGAAGCCCTCGGTACATCGGGGCTGCCCCCATCCTCACCTCATTGCCCTCCGAGGCAAGAGGTGACCGTTTCATATGATGGGACCTCAGCTTACAGCAGAAGCGCTTTTCTGGGCTGTTCGGACGGAGCCCCTACCTGGACCCCTGTCACCTTGCTTCTCCCAACTTTCTGATGAACTGAGTTCCCTGAAGACAGACAGACAGACAGAAAACTTCTCCATCTCCCCCCAGCACAGCAGTTATCAAAGCTCAGCATTTCCCTCCCGCTGCTGGGAGACTGGAAAATGCTGATAAGTGAAAAGAAAAAAGGGGTAACAGAGCTGCTTGTGTTAGATAAACACCCACACACTTCAAGGCTGGAGGATATAAAATAATTGTTAGCCTTGGTGTTGTCGAAGCAAAGCATTAGGAACCACAGAGTCCTTTGGGTAAAAACCACCTTCTGTGCTTTCCCTTCTCTAGCTCCAGTTAAGCGCCATAGGCGTCTCTCTTCTCAACTAGTGGGAAGCCGTCCCGTTTCTCTCTGTTTTTGTTGTCTCTCCCTTGAGAATGCGAGCTGCATAAGCCAAGGGAGTATGTCGTTTGGTTTGAGGCTGTGTCCCCAGTGTCTGGTGGGGAAGGGGACACGCATGAACCACCCCCGTGGAGGGAATGGTCATCGGGACCCCGTCGTCATCCGAAATGATAAGAAATAACGCGAAGCGTAAAAGCGGGGTTGTTGCATGGTATTACGATCTAGGCACACAGGAAAGGGCTGTAGGAGTGAGGGAGTGGTAGCCCCTTCCCCTCCATGTCTCTGTCATGAAATTTTCTGCGAGCTTCTTTTAAGGTCAGCGAACAAAGAGCAGTCACCGTGCCCCAGTGCTGGAGCTGAAGACAGAGCCGGTCCTGACCTGGCTCAGTCCCGGCGGGGCCTTCCTTGGGCATCTCTGCCAGCTCCCTCCAGCCTCTGGTTCTTCATCTGAAGGATGGAGATGGTTCTATGTGTTTTACTCAGGCACCTCACAGATCAAGGGAAATCACGTTCTTTTCTTTAAACTATTTTGTATTGGAGTATAGCCGATTAACGACCTTGTCATAGTTTCAGGTGCACAGCAAAGCGACTCAGCCACACATGAGAAATCACAGGAGCCCCACCCTCAGGATTAGCTGGGTCCAGGCCCGGCTGCCCTTGCCCCTCCCCTTCCGAGGGTGCCCCCTCCCCTTGCCCGAGGTTTTTTGTTTGTTTGTTTGTTTGTTTGTTTTTTGCGGTACACGGGCCTCTCACTGCTGTGGCCTCTCCCGTCGCGGAGCACAGGCTCCGGACGCGCAGGCTCAGCGGCCATGGCTCACGGGCCCAGCCGCTCCGCGGCATGTGGGATCTTCCCTGACCGGGGCACGAACCCGCGTCCCCTGCATCGGCAGGCGGACTCTCAACCACTGCGCCACCAGGGAAGCCCTCTCTGGGTTTTTTAAAGGTCAACATTTGGGCAAAGGCTGGGCACATCAGCCTGTGTGACTCTGATTTGAACTTGTGACTAATTCTGGGCTTTCTTGGGCCCTTTCTCAGGGCACCGTGTTGTCACCCAGACCCCTGGGTGAGTGATCTGGGGAGTTCACGGGAATGGCAGAGTGGGTGAAGCCACGCTTGGTGAGATGACTCAGCCCCACCGTCACTCTGGACATGGTGAGGACATCTCGTTTGTCAGAGCCCACGGGGTCTAAATGCTGCTCTGCCTTGGCTGGGTGGCCTGTAGGAAGCTACTCACCACCCCCGCCCCCATCAAGACCCCCGCTCAGTCCAGTGGGGCAAAGGATGGAAAGAGCCGGGAGCCAAAGGGCAGGGATGCTGGGCTCGCGGGAGGGAAGGAGGAAGTGGGGAGGTGAATTGTCACCAGAGTGTCTGCTGTGCGTACCATTGCATCTCTCATGAGAGCGGGCGCTGTGTGCGACCCCTAAGGACGTCCATCGCAGGCCTGCAGAGCTGGAGGCCCGTTTTGCTCATTCCAAGTCAGGGACAGGGAGGGCCAGACCCGGAAATTCACCTGCTTAAGGTAACGGCGACCACTTGCATCTCTGCCGCACAGCACACGTTTGTAAAAGGCACGTAGACATGCTTTCCTTGGCCCTCATGACCCTGGGGCAGGCAGGAACGATCCATTCGTTTAATTGATGGTGGGGCTGGGCTTGGAAGCAGCCTGGTCAGGGTCGCAGACCAGCAACAGTGCAGCTTAAGCCTCTGTCTCTCCCTCCGACTTCTCTGGACCCTGTCACCCCCTCCCGTATGACACCCAGCTCACGCCCAGGGATGCCCAGGCCCAGGCTCTCTCTTACAAATTGTTAAGTCCCCCCGCCCCACGATTGTTTAAGTAATGCAGGTTCTTTGTTTTTTTTAAAAAAGGAAATTACAGGAAGATATAAAGGAAAAATATGGAAAACATCCATTATTCCACCTTGAAGATACCTTCTTTTTCTGTGTATATAATAACACACATGTACATTGTTTCCCAGCTAAATTGGGGTTTTCCCTGGCGGTCCAATGGTTAAGACTCTGCGCTTCCACTGCAGGGGGCATGGGTTCAATCCCTGGTCAGGGAACTAAGATCCTGCCTGCCACGTGGCCAAAAATAAATGAGTAAGTAAATCAAATGAAAATAAATAAATAAACCAGTAAATTGGGGTCAATCTGTATGAGACCAAAAACTGAGTTTATTGTGCTCCCAAGTGTGTACCCAGTGCCTGGCACAAACTTGGCATTCAGTAACAGTTTGTTGAATATATGTTATATACTTTATTTTGTGGCATGCTTCCTTCACTTGCAAAATGCCGTATTTTATCAGGGCGTTAAATATTATTCTAGGGCTTCCCTTGTGGTGCAGTGGTTGAGAGTCTGCCTGCCGCCTGCCGATGCAGGGGACACGGGTTCGTGCCCCGGTCCGGGAAGATCCCACATGCCGCTGAGCAGCTGGGCCCCATGAGCCACGGCCGCTGAGCCTGCGCGTCCGGAGCCTATGCTCCGCAACGGGAGAGGCCACAGCAGTGAGAGGCCCATGTACCGCAAAAAAAAAAAAAAAAAATATATATATATATATATTATTCTAAACATCTTTTTAAGGTTACATTACATCATTATATGAAATGTAACTGCATTTATTTAACTAAGCCCCTAAACTTTTTTTCAAGTTTTCATTCTTATACGTAATTCTGTGATGAACATCCTTGGACAAAAATCTTTATATTCACTTCTGATTCTTTGTGCAGGACAAATTCCTAGAAGTGAAATTATTCATCAGAGATTATGAACAATTTAAGACTTCAGTACACTGTGCCAAAAATGTTGAAAAACTTACATTCTCTCTGGAGGTATGCGGGTACCCGTTCACCACACCCTGAACAAACACCAGGCGTTATTATCGTAAAAAAATATTTGCCAATTTGGTATCTGCCCAAGTTTAAAAGAACACAATATTACCATCTTATTATGTTATTTCAAATACCTTTTTTATACAACATATTATTACAATATCACTCTGAAGTAGGTGTTAAAATAATGGCTAATATTTATTGAGCACATACTATATGAGAGGTGCTGACCTAAGGGTTTTTTTTTTTTTGGGGTACGCGGGCCTCTCACTGTTGTGGCCTCTCCCGTTGCGGAGCACAGGCTCCGGACGCGCAGGCTCAGCGGCCATGGCTCACGGGCCCAGCCGCTCCGCCGCATGTGGGATCTTCCCGGACCGGGGCACGAACCCGCGTCCCCTGCATCGGCAGGCGGACTCTCAACCACTGCGCCACCAGGGAAGCCCTGACCTAAGGGTTTTATATCTACTATCTTATTAGTCCTCACAGCAATTTTATGGCATGTATATTATTCTCCCTGTTCACCAGATGAAAAAATTGAGCCTTGGAGAGTTCATGTAACTTGCCTTAAAGACTTGTGTTATTATCCCCACTGTATAGATGGGGACTCAAACACCAAGGTGTGTTGACTTGCCAAGGTCACGCCCAGGGCAGGACTTAAGCCCATATCCTGGTGCACAGCTCAAGCCATCCTCCACTTCCTCTAGTTTGCTAGTGCCCGGCTTACCCTGTTTCTCACCGATTAGCCCTAAACCAAAGGGTGACCTGGGGTGAAGGCCACCGGCACTGGCCCTGCTTCTGCTCTCAGAAGATCCGGGTGTGACGCTTAACCTCATGTGTCAGCTTGACTGGGCCACCGGGCGCCTGGGTGCTCGGTCAGATATTATTCTGGGTGTTTTGGGATGAGATTAACATTTGAATCAGACACTGAGTGGAGCGGATGGCCCT